CGACACCTCACATTACTTTCAATCATTGAGAGTTGTGTATATATGTGTGTTTAATGTACCAGAATGCTGTATTAACAGTGCACAGTAATTCCTGACTAGTCGTCTGTTTTGTCTTCTCTCGTATTTCGAAAAATGCCTATTGTTTAAATATCTACTAATGAAATCTAAAGAATCAGGATGTTGGAAACTCAGTCTGGAGGACATATTAACAACTGTGAGAAGCCTCCTCTCACCGGGAATTATTGATATTCACGTAGACCTTAAGACTAATGCATTTTTCAAGGATAACTGATTTGGTGAACAGTTCACAAAAGTTATTATTTGGTTTGTTTATTCACTGTTGGGATTTTTGTTTTCAACTGGGGTTATTCTCCTGATGTCACAATTCTGAAGACCGTTAGCGTATTTACTTGATAAATAAAAAAGTATGCCATTCAGACAATTCTAGTCACAATATTTTATCATTTATAGTCTTCTTTGGCGGATGGTGACTAGCGGTAGAATCCAGGATGCGATTTTCGCCCTATTTAGGATTCGTCGTTTTGTTGTGAATGTAGCCCCCTCCCAGTGAGTAGTGGTTTTACCTGTGGGACTCAGATCCAGTGTTATCTACCTGGCCACTTGTGCCGCAACAATCACCTCTTGTGTAACGGATATTAGTTATTATTTGTTTGAGTTTATTTTGTATGTCCCGGTGATTGGTTATATTGAACTGAAATATTCGTGGCCGAAGTGGTCTGGTGGATTACATTAAGGCATTTTAAACTATGGGTTCCGGGTTCGAATCTCAGTAGAGGGACACACTACTGCTCACTGAGAGGGAGGGCGGACTCAGGTACATTCATTTGGCTATTCCCAAATAGGAGGAAATGTGCGACGTGGATTCCGCTGCTAGTCACCATCCACTAAATAATATCATCGTCAATAAGTCCGTACTATGGAGTCGACATGCTAACAAAGACCCAGCGAGAAACAGACCCAGCGTGACGAAATCCAAGGGGCGACCCATGAGTTTTAACTTCCACCTATTTATGATATATTTAAATATTCTCATTATTAATATTAGAAAAAGACAAATATGCAAATAATGTGTGAAAGGCGGTTTCGAATTCAGTTCAAAAGGTTCGATAGATTGTGATAGATGACTTTGAAGGCACTTCTTCTGTCCACTTAGTGATCTCTATCAATCAAACGAGTCAAAATAGAACTTCTTATAGATTTTATTTGGCCTTTTTCTAAAGCCATGAAGGGAGATGCTCAGTAATGTTCTGTTTGTTGAGCCATCTAGTTGCTTGCTCTATATACATTTCTCCTTAGACACAGCTAGGTAGCTTATCTTTCGCTTGAACAATCATAATTAGTCACCTGGAAAATGACAAACAAAGGGTGGTGGCAGTATAAGTCTATTTTGTGACTCTAGGTAATTTTAGATCGAGGACTTAGCCAGCCACGTCCCTGTTGAATTGCGATTTTAGGAACAGTTGTTTCTTTTTAACTACTGTCGGTTTCTCTTGATTATACATGATATTCATGGGTCTCATTGTAGTGAGAGCTGTCTGCAAGCCAAAATTGTAGACAACAATTTACGTCGATGTTTACGTCCCGAATCGGGGGCATGAGAAAAACCGTGAGGAACTCACCAATCGATCACAGCAGCCGCAACGTGTACAAATACGATTCGCAGATATATGACTTAACTTTCTAAGAAACGGTCACAAGCAGTACAGAATAACCTTCAGCAGGAAACTAACCAATCAGAAGAGGTTGCTTCTCCGCTGACAATAATGTGCATAAAAATCTACAAATATCTCTTGGTTTTCTCAAATAGCCATATGTTGCCTGGACATTGTCTTCTCTTGTTATATCCTTACAATCCTGCTAGTATAACCCACTCTGACCAGAGTATTTTAGATGTATCCTAATTCATTTTCTAGGGAGTCATGTATACAGATCCTTTTTGCATTATTCTTGAGGCATCTGACCAAACTGATTTTGTATCGGATTGGTACAAAACTGAAGAAATGTGTATATTGTCCTACAGATGTAGGTTTTCTGTAGACATCTCTCTTGAGTGGACCATCCTGTCTTCTGCTCAGTTAGACATCAAGGAATTGTAATCTACCAGCATGTTCTTCTTCACAAATGAACATGAGTGACAGATAGATGTGCGTCATTAAGTTTTATTACCATTTCGTTCTTGTCAGCGTTTCGACCCACAAACTCACGTCGTTGGTTAATTTTTTTTAATATATTTAAATTAAAGTAAAGCCTGAAAAAGATCTGACTGAAAACAACATTGTTTGTCTGTAAGTCTTCTTCTAATATTTATGATATATAGCGCAACAGTCAACCAATAGCACCTGTGAATATTTGTTCTCAGCTTGTTTGACTTAGCTGCTGACGACTTCTTACTGTCACTTTATGCAACTTCATTCTGTTGTCAGTCACTATTGATCGCCGGATGAATTCTTAGGTGTTGTTTGGCAGAGATTTGATTGAACGATGAACCAATCGTTGGGTAGGATGATCAATTTGTAACGACAGAAGGCAAGAGTCAGGCAACAGATCATTTATTAAGGAAATCAATGCATATTTATATATTTTCATGTACATTACTATGGATATGTAAACAAACAAACACAGTCTTCCGATTGGTTGTTTCTCACGTAAAGTTAATCTTTCATCTATTTGTGACTGTTTCTTGAATGTCAAATCCTCTATATGTTAACTGCATCCGCCTACGCAAAGTCTTCTGTGGTCGGTTTTGAATCAATCTTTGTTCACATTTTCTCACGACAAATCTTGGGAACGTAAATATTGACGTAAATTATTGTCTACCAATTTGGCTAGTAGACAGCTCTCACCACAAATTTGCCCTGAATTCAAACTAGCTTCTATACCGTCTCACTGTAGAGACCATGCTGTTCAGTCCCTTATCACTTATTTGTAACCAACATTATCAGTGGTTTACACAGATTGATTCAGTTCAGAGAGCCAATTCAGTTTTTGAAGCACTGGAGTTCTAGCTGTCTGTGGAGCACTTTTTTCGATCTGAGTGGTCTGCAAATACTCGCACAGATAAGTAGTATATTTCATATGGTGTTTGGTTGATCCAAGTGTGAATAATCTTGAACAAATAATCAAGTGAGCCGCATATTGGAAATGGCGTTTTTGAATACGAAATTTTCATAGAAAATAAATTAAGTAATGCAGAATAATTATATAAGATGACAATCTGTTATATGTCCTAGGAATGCCTTCCAATTCCTGATTGTAGTTCTTAGTGTTAGTCCAGATCAGTTACTGCACATGAATCCATCAAGTTGATTGTATATTATGTCATTTCATGACCCATTTACCACCCGAATCCTGTTTTTCAAATACCTCCCTCTATGGAACGGCCGACGCACTGCTTTACCTCGCCAAGCCAGAAATAATGCTGGTGGAGAGGAAAGGTTGGGCATGAGGCTAGCAAGCCTATCCTGTAAAATAAACACCGCCACAGAAACTTCAAGCCACTAGCTTGAAGCCCTATGTTCCACTGGGGAACGTGAAGGAAAAAAAATGGAACAGATATACATTCCATCCTGCGGGGGAACAAAACCTGAACAATGACTTGCTATGTTGTTGTCAGTCAGTATAGCCGGACGAAGGTAACTGTCTATAGTTCCTCCATTAGTGTATGTGAACTGCGGCTAAGGATTCACTCGATGAATTATCTCTGCGTAGCTATCTCATATAATCTCAATGCCTATATCGAATTTCTTCAACATCATTTGACTGACCGTTCACATTTAAAATAATTCTTAAGTCCTTTTTTAGTAATTAATGATAAGATTAGCTGAGATAGTCCTGGGTTGACAGACTATTATTGATGTTAGGGGTGTGTGTGTGTGATGATTGAAGGTGGTGGAGTGAGGAAACCTGAGTTGTAGCAGGATTCGAACTAAAGAACTTCTGGATTAATATATCGGTGATGCTCTAAGTTAACTATGATTGTCACCCAAATACAATCACTATGGGTAGTGTTCCCCTTCATCAGTCAAATGTGAACGGCTGATACTTTATGGTCTACTTATCATTACTACACTTGCTGGCCATCTAGACGTTATTTTGACAATTCTAATCATAATGAATTAAGAAGAAGAGAGACAGACTTTTGTAATTGATGTGGTGAAACTATTTAAGATAGTTTTGCTATTTGACAGGATCGATCGCCATATTGTAACAACAGAAGACAAGGGTCAGGCAACAGATCGTTTATTAAAGAAATCAACACATATTTATATATTTTCATGTACACTATTATAGATTAGTTAAGCAAACAAACACAGTCCTCTGATTGGTTGTTTCTCACTTAAAGTTAATCTTGCATTTCTTTGTGGCTGTGTCAGATCATCCATATGCTAACTGTATCCGCCTACGCAAAGTCTGCTGTGGTCGGTTTTGTATCAGTCCTTGTTCATATTTTCTCACGACAAATCTTGAGAACGTAAACATTGACGTAAATTACTGTCTACCAATTTGGCTAGTAGATAGCTCTCACCACAATATGACACTTTGTTCTATCTTATTTTTATTTAGATTTTAGGGAATTGAATTAATTTCAATACACATTTCAGCATGAAACAACACCAGTTAGAAATCATTGAAGATCAGGGAGTGCTGCACAGCTGTTCCGTCCTAGTTTGAGACTTTATCGAAGTGTACACTCATGATTGCATCAAGGTTTCAAAATGATTCTCTGATATTGATTTGTGGCAAAATAAAAACTGTATCAAGAATCAAGAGAAATTAAATTTTGTTCGTCATCGAATTCTATCTAACCCAACTGGTTGTGAATTGCCGACGAGCTTTGCCTCGTAACCTGAAGATTACAAGGTTTCAATATTTTTTATTCATTGTTCTAAAAGTTCAATAATGTTTAAGCCGGCTTTCATTTAACACACTTTGCTTTACAAACTAATTTAATTATTATTATTTCTTAAATTCTATTTTAGACGTTGGTATCCCAATAGCAGTGGAGGAAAACATCAAGTACGTTAGTTAACATTGTCATATTTTATCGATTACTTCAGTTTTATTTTTGAATAATTGTTTCAACTAAACAACAGAAACCAACTTCAACAGTTGGTGTTGATCATGAGAAAAAATTTATCATTGTGTGTAAATGACTACTGAGGTATAAATATAATTATTATTTCAACTACTAATGAGTAGTTGCACTAATTACACTTGAAATTTCATGCACATCAGCGCCATCTCACCTATTTCCTCCAACCAATCATCTAAACATCAAATGGAAGGAAGTGTACCACGATAATGAATCACCTAGTTTGGTGACATAACTTCTGGAATTTAGTCAGTACCAACACTGAAGACTAGACACATGGGCTTGTTGGCTGTTCACTAATGAACAAGCAGTAAGTCTTTTGATTTGACACTAGTAACTAGTGTGATGCGTCTAGTCCTCTCTTTGGTGCAGACTGAATTCTATCAGTCAGGTTGTAATGTGGCCACCATTCTAGGTAGCTCGCCATCATGGTGACGAGTGCCAACTAGCCCGAAACCTAGGTCCAAGGCTTCCTGCCGATTGCCTCCAACCATCTAATATCATCACAAACAATGTATACCGTGATGGCGAGCTACCTAGAATGGTGGCCACATTACAAGCTGACTGATAGAATTCAGTCTGCACCAAAGAGAGGACTAGACGCATCACACTAGTTACTAGTGTCAAATCAAAGTATCCACTACAGTCCTACAGGAGGTCAATCGCGAGCCCGAATAGCTCAGTGGTAACGTCTCTGACTGACTGCAGCACTGGGTGACGCGGGTTCGAATCTCAGAAGGGACATGAGTTCCTTCAAGGTTGCAGATACGCCTTGCTGATGAGTGCCAACTAGCACGAAACCTAGGTCCAAGGCTTCCTAGTGCCGATTGCCTCCAACCATCTAATATCATCACAAGCAGTAAGTCTATTACAACTGTTCTACAGGAGGTCAATCGATACCCCAGATACCTCAATGGTGATATCTTTGACTGCAACACTGCAGGACATCAATTTCTTCGACGGTTCAAATACGTTTCACTGACAATTTCCAATAAGCATGGAAATGTAGTCAGCTACTGCCTCTAAACATCTAAAATACCAAGTCAAGGTGTAGTACTATTGTAACAACAGAAGACAAGGGCCAGGCAACAGATCGTTTATTAAGGAAAATCAACACATATTTATAGATTTTAATGTACATTATTGTAGATTATTGTTAGTAGAAAATACAGTCTTTTGATTGGTTGTTTCTCACAGAAAGTTAACCTTGCATCTCTTTGTGGCTGTGTCAGATCATCCATATGCTAACTGTATCCGCCTACGCAAAGCCTTTGTTCTCATTTTCTCACGACCAATATTGGGGACATAAATATTGACGTCAATTACTGTCTACCAACTTTGGCTAGCAGCCAGCTCTCACCACAGTAGTACTATTACATGAGTTATCTGACTTGGTAATCACACTACATGCTTGACTGAGAGAGTTTAGCCAACATTGAGGGCTAAATATACAACACTGGTCATATACATATATAAACACAAATCTCCTCTGAATTTCAACAGATTTTAGAAAAACTAAGCTTATCAGTACTCAGGTTCTTAGTGCATAAATCACGCAGAATTTCAAGTGAAATTTGGCCACAGTTTTCTTTGAAAACAGAAAATACTCTCATAAATTTTGAATTAAGAATGCAAACAAAATTGAATGATAATTCATTGGTTGATATGAATAGCTGGAAATTACTGACGCTAACCAGTAAGTAGTATTGCTTACTAGTCATATCGAAGTGATGTAAACAACGGACAGCCCAAATTAACAGCGATGTAACCGGATCGAATCAGCCCAGAGAGATCTAATCGATCAGTTCAAACCAACCAATCATATCAATCAATCAACCAATCAGTTAATCAGTAGTACACACTTCAACATAATTATTCTTGCCTTCTTGATTGCCACTTACAGTACCAAAGAGAACACTGATCTGAATTTTTCTGAATTTCAAAGGAAATCGTTGAACTGTGTAATTTATTAATCGTGAATTTGATTCTGTGTCTTATCAGTTCATCCTATTAACCAGCTAGTCAGATTTTGGCTTTTTTTATTCCTTTACTTTCCCAGTGGAACATAGGGCTTCAAGCTAGAGACTTGAAGTTTCAGTAACAGTGGTTTTTATTTTTATTGGATGCGGTTGCTAGTCTCATGCCCAACCTTCCCTCTTTACCAGTCTTATTACCAGCTTAGAGTGGTAAAGGAGTGCATCAGTTGGGGGTCGGATCTCAAACCACATGAGGCGCGTGGTCGGCGAGCATCCTACCACTGCGGCATCTATGCACGGGTGGTTTGAACTTAAATAGAGACGGGTACACCACCGATCACCTCTGTGAAAAATAAGCTAAAAGACCTTGTGATGTTGGGATTACATCTTTCTGGTTAGTATGCACTACTACTTGATGTGACTGGTTTCCAACTACTCGTACCAATCAATCAGTAGTATGTATGCCACCAAAAGTATCTGTTTAACTCTTTAATTTGTTGATTGGAAACCAGGTAGTAGGTATTGTAACGTATCTAGTTCAGATTGAATTCTCTCAGTCAAGTCTGAAATATGGCTACCATTCTAGATGGCTCACTATCACAGTGCACTCTGAATTGTTGTTATTATATGGTTTGAAGCAATCACCAAATAGCTTCGGACCACCTGGGTTTTATGATTTTTGACACTAATGAGCAAGGCATATCTGCAAAATTGAAGGAACTCATGTCCCCTGCCTGCGATTCAAACTGGGGCCACTGAAGCTTGATGTCGTTATGCTCAATAATGAATTGTACTCGAAACGTCATCAGTAAGTAGTACTGTATCATTGTGAAATAAATTTACGCTATGATGTAATTATACTCTACATCAGTGCCTGAATTCTATTCTTGTATCTGTCTAACTAGCAAATGATTAATTATTTCTACTTCTTCTTCTTCTACTTTTAGGGTTCGGTGAAATCTGCACGAGTTGAAGCTGTAGCTACAACGGTGATGCATCAAAGAGCACACTGACACCCCCTTCACACCCAATGCAACAAACACAACCATCAGTAATAACAACCACAGACACAATGATGCTTGTCGATATGCATTCTGCATCCTTGTCTTCACCAGCTCATTCATTAACAACTACAACAGAATCGAATAATCCATCCAACTCGTCACCGAAATCAGGCTTCTCTCCAGAAGTAACTACATCACTTCGCGGAGTTGTCTCGAGTTCGGGGACAACTCCATCTCAGTCATCTCCACTACTGTCAGCTCTACTCTTACCAGGCCTCAATAATAATAATAATCATAGCCAAGAAACTCTCCTGAGTAGAACATCCTCGTTGAATCAAACAAACTTTATTAAAACAGAACCTGAAATGATGAATCCTTTAATTGGCATTTCAACAACACCGTCGACAGTTGTCGATACAGGCTATAATGAGAATCTTAGCAATGATAATCGTGAGGCTGGTGGTGATAGTGTTGAGGATGCTGATGCTGGTGGTGACAGAAGTCCTGTGAATAATAATAATAATCAAACGCCTCATTCTTCTCCAGTGTTCACTAACACGTCTATTATCGCTACAACAACGACAAGTCCAGTATCATCGATTATTGCTGCCACCACTGGGAATATGAATGATGAATTACAGTCATTGACTCCAGGGACTAGTGCTACAACTATAGCGACAATAACTTCGACAGATATTACCGGTGAATTAGACAATCAGTTAATGAGTATTGACAATGATTTAGAGTCAACAAAAGTGGATAGTGAAATGATGATGATAATGAGGTGAGTAGTATCACTTGTAATTCTTTTCTTTGTAATAATTTAAATATATACCTATGTGTATAGCTACATTTTTCTTCCATCCAAGCAAATTCTACATTTTTTTCGTAACACTGTACTTTGAAGCAGATAGTGGGGAGGCGAATGGTGAAATCAAATGCCTAAGATATTTGTAGTTCTACTCTTAATTCCTGTGTATTTTAGGGTAAGACAGAGCTTCTTTTTCCTTCACGTTCCCCAGTGGAACATAGGGCTTCAAGCTAGTGGCTTGAAGTGTCTGTAGCAGTGCTTATTTTACGGGATGGGGTTGCTAGCCTCATGCCCAACCTTTCCTCTTCACCAGAATTATTTCTGGCTTAGCGAGGTAAAGGAGTGCGCCGGCCGGGGATCGGACCCCGGACCATGTGCATGGTCGGCGAGCGTCCGACGCATAAGACAGAGCATGCTGTTGTACTATCTTGAATATATTACCAATTGTTTATGACGTACAAAATGGGTGCTTAATAAACCAAAATTCCATAGACTATCGTGTGTTTTTTATTCTCAGTAGGCATAGGATTGAAATAACGCCAGTTCACAGGAGTTAATAATTGTTATCCTGATTTGTGTTTGAATATCTTTCGTGTTGTTGTATTCCTATTAGCTGGGTGGTTTAGCTGTGAAGCTTTCATTATCCATCTTGACAATATCTTCAGCGCCTTAACTTCAATGTGTGTAAAAAAAGGGGCTTAGGAATTTATTCGTAGATGAAATATATCCCTTCTGGTGACCTTCACTCTGATTGGTCGTCCTGGTAGATTTCATTATGATGACATTCCCCCCTATATTGTTATCCATCTTCTTGATGACTACTTGATATTTGATCTTTTAGTCATGTGATCTCACTTTTATTTATTAATGAATTCGGTGAATATTCACATGTTTGAAACTGCTGCAACACTACAAGTGCTCCAAATCTTTATCAAGCTCATTCAACAGCTAGATGATTATTCCACATGTCGTGTGAATCAGGACGGAAAACTCACTGGTGCCTTTGAAGTGAAGATAGGAGTAAGATTACGATCACCGATGATATTCCTGACTGTGGTGGACCGGATTGTGCTGCAGATCACGAGGATCGAGAAGACAGGATTTCATTACATTGAGCTGACAAACGGATTGTAGAGGCTCGGAATTTGTGGACTATTTATGTCAGATGACACATAAAATCGAAGATCTATAGGTAAAAACCAACAGGTTGGCAGAAGAGGTGAACCGGGAAGATAGAACTTTAAGTAAACGCAGAGAAGATAGAGGTGGTGAAGTTAACTAACCAACAACAACAACGACAAGCATGAATTACTATCAACGGGAGAAATTTGAAGGGATTCACTTATTTCACTTATCTAAGCAGCATCATTTCAACCACAGGTAGCATTGGTAAGGATGAAGGAGCCAGGATGGGAAAGGCAAGACAGACCTACATAACCCTGAAACTGATGTGGAGTTATGCTGCACTCAGCATAAACAATAAGATCAGGATTTCCAACAATGATGTCAAGTTACCAAAAGCATTTCGAACAGGCTTCATACTTATATTGACAGCTGCTTCTGTTTCATAGTGAAGATCGGTTGGTGGTGGACAGCAAACCAACCAAGAATGAGATAGTTCGGATGAATGTTGAGGAGACCGTTGAGTGGTATCATGCTCCAGGGAAACCCTCGAGGGGAACCCGATTGGAAAACGACCATTTGGGTCAGTTGTGTCCACGTGTGACACTGGGGAGATAATAGTGCCAGCTAAAAGAGATTGGAGAGAAGGGGATAAAATGGAGGTGTTCTTTTGAAGGCCTATGTTCCACTCGGAACTCAAGTTAATAATAGTAATAATAATAATAAATTGTAGATTCATTTGGGTGACAAACCTTTGAGGATTCCTTGGCATTCTTTATGTTTCCTGTGTCTAAGGTTTTTAAATTGTCACAGCTGAATGGATATCCTTTAATTGAGAATGGTGAATGCTTGTTACATCCTTTAACTTCTACCTTGTGTTCGTGTATACGAACATGAAGAAGACATTTATTTTGGCCAACTCAGTGTTTTCCGCTCTTCATGCAGCCTTTTTTATAGATGATGTTAGTTTTATCTTCTTTCATTGTCAGATCTTTTGGTATATAAACTTTGAAGTGAAGAGATAGCGTTAGTTTGTGAGCGAAAACTATTTCCAGGTGTCAATATTCTGCTAGTAATTCCAGAAATGTTTTCCATCTAGTGTAGGACGATATAAAACAGTTGAGAATTGGTCAAATTTCGTGTTAAAATAACGTCTATTTGATCCTTAAATATCAGATAATCCGTCTTGAAGTCCAATTTGTGGAGATTCAGCAAGAGGGAATGAGTGAGATAGAGATCATTCGTGATCAAACCTGTGATCAATCAAATCCCTGCAAACGAACACCTGAAAATTGATCTGATGCTTACTGGCAACTAGCTCTACACAGAAGGTCACCCGGAGTTCTAGTAAAAAGTCTGCAGAAGTTGGCATTCAGGGGAGATTGAATGGGGTACCAGTAGCGGAAGATCCCGGGTTCGAACTCATGTGGGTTCGCACTGATGAAGAGTCCCAGGAACAAGATGAAACAGGCCCAAGTGCTCCTTGGTTTTCCAGTAATTCTCAAACTGATGGTGAACAGTTTTGTAAACAAATCAATGAGAATCAAGCAGCATTGAGCAGCTTTCGAAAATGTTAGCACAAATTTCCTAATTATTAGAGTATTGAAATCCATGGTTAATATGCGAAGTAACTCCATCATTATCAGGCAAAAGGAAAACAGTGATTATCATGAAATCCTACTTGATTTCAGTTTTTTTATTTGAATATGTACTCAGTCCACTTATTTTGTATGTTTGTGTGGGTGTGTGTCTTTCTTTTCAAGCCGACAGTTTGTACCGGTAAGTCTGCAAGCTATTCCTTGAATTTAGCTACCTGATCGTAGTATTAATTCTGAATGTCTATTGACGGTAGCATTATCTATGATTACTTTTCTCTTTGGTTTTTCCTCCTCCCCACCCACCCCCATCATCGGTATATAAGCCCAACAGGATCGGATAAACAATGCCTCAACAAGTCAATAAATCTCAATGAACATAATCCACCGTCTACTGAAGAGTCATCCGCATTACAAATGTCTCAAATGCCTCCAGATCCTGTTTACACTTCATTCGATAATAATAATAATACAATTGAAACAAGCGAAGATGTAATTTCTGGAGATAATAATATAATGAGTGCAGTGAACAATACTTCTGCTACTACAACTACCACTATCACCACTGTTCATGTAAATGAGAGTGAGAGTGGTGTTACTACTGGTGGTGTTGGTGATGATGACCTTGAAGCCGGTGACAGTGGTGTAGACAACAACAGTAGCAATAGTACTAGTACTAGTAGTAGTAATAGTAACAATGTTATAACATCACCATCTAATTCTAATTCAAGAAAATGGCCATCTATTCGTCTTGTGCCTAATTTATTGCGTCATCCTACAAAGTATACTACAATTTGATTACAGAGTATAAACAAAAAGAATGGATTACATGCATTCACTCCTATGCACTCACGCCATCCATCCACCCACACATACAAACAAACAAACTGAACACCTTATAGTCAAGTTGAGATTTGTTGATAATATAGAGTTGACTTAACTTTTCCTCAGATCATTTTCGTATCTTATGTGTGAAATTGTACTCCAGAATGGAATAACACTCACTGTGAACAATACTCGATTATTTCAATTACTGTATGCATCCTCATCATCCTCATCATTGTCATCGCTTTTATCAGTAGTGCAGGTGGCTTCATCAAAAAATCATCAAAGCTTTACTCACATGTCACTGACATGTGTCATCAATCATTAATTTGGAGTGTGTGAGAGAGAGAAGACGATCCAGAAGAATAATAATCGTATATGTTTTATCCTAACTGTTATTAAAATCAATTTCTCCCATGAATAATTGTCTTTCGTTTACACATTATTTCGCTTCATCAAAGATTCTTGGCCGGTGTCATATGATGCAGACAATTACCGTGTGGTACACATTACATGCATAGTAGTCACCTGTCGGATATATCACTTCATTGAGAATATAGGCACTATTACATTATTATTAGTAGTAGTATTAGTAATAATATTGAATCTATTCAAGTAAATGCACATACATATATATACATAGACATCCATTTGTCTCCTTCTCTTCTCTGTGTGTGTGCATGTGTGTGTGAGCGGAGCTGTATGTGTTTGTTTGTCTGAGCAATGCATACTCACAATCACTTATTACCACACATATACGCAAATATCTTTAAGAAAAAAAAGGGAGGCAAAATAGGGGGAGTGGAGAACCATTGTTATTGTTCCCTACTTATAAATGCGTATAAACAACTCAGTACAAATGTTGTTGTTTTTTTCGCAGTGAATGAATATTACTCTCCCTTATTATTGTTACTATTATTGTTATTATTATTATTATCATTACTGTTATTACGTAAATTGTATAGTTAAGAAGAATGCTTGATACATAAACAAAACCGTTTCTTCCTTTCTTTTACACACGCACATACACACATACATACAGACACACGTAGATAGACACAGTTCGTTACAATACACATACAAATATATAAAATGAAATCGACTGAAAACAACAACAACAACAACAAGAACCAAAAGCATGGAGATAAGCAAGTCTCCTTAGAAGAAATCAATCAACATGGATTCTCTCTTCCCTACTTTTTCCAATGAGAACACCTACTGTTTGTATGTATGTGCGCCAGCTTGTGTGTGTATGTGTGCGTACGTTTCACGCTTATCTTTTCATCCCCGTGTGTGAACACTGTTTATTTCACTAGTCATTGTTTCTTTCAGAAATGTCCTTCAGTTTCTCTCAGTATCCACCCCACCCTCCAACCGCCTCTACTTCTCTTTCCCACTGACGTACACTTGTATGAAGTGTAAGACTTTAAATCAGAAACAAAGTTCAACTGTAAACATTTATTGTCATTTTAAGATCACAACTGTCGTTCACATTGTGTGTGTGTGTGTTGTTGGAGGGGCGGGGGTTCTGGCTATGTTACTGTCACACGCACACATACACATACACACAAGCTAACTCTGCCCAATCTTGGTCTCAACATCACACGTTTTGTTTTCTTGTCAATATTGGTTGAGTGGTTCACTGTTTGACCGGCTTTTTCTCATTTTGTTGTGTTTTTCACACTGCGCCCCCACCCCAAATCACTCTCCAAAATGTATTGTGTTGACATTGTTACTATTTGCTTCTCTCAGTCTCGGTTATGAATAATAATTATTATGTTAGACTACTGTTAAAATCATGTAATAAATTATAGAGCAGTTCCTTTTATTTTCTAGTTCTCCCGCGCCCACCCCCACCTCTACCAAGCCTCGTTTTTATTGACTCTCCCTCACGTGCGTGTATCTTTCAAACAAACAGGAAATTCATGAGTTCATTTTGTGTATCTGTATCTGTTCTTGTGTGTGTGTGTGTGTGTTTATCTGATAATAATCCCTTCTTCATAAAAACAGAAACCTGGTGAAGACATACCTCATAATTCTGACTGTGTATGTGTGCATTGTACACCCGACTCATTGTTTATTTTCAATCCCTAACGTGTATTTTTTTCACCATTTTGGTACCTAGTCGTTTGTAATTTCGTAAGTTGACCACCATCACCACAATAATACATACACACACTAACACGAATTCATGTGTAGTATTTTCCTTCCTAACCTTCCTTCTCTGTTTCTTTCTCTCTTATCCTGATTACTAAAAGACACTTCCGAGATGGCATGCATCAACTCTGGATAGACAGCAACTAACATAATTAGCTGTGTGTAATGCAAGCAAAGTAAAGCTACAAGACAAATCCAGCAGAAAATAATAAACATGACATATTTTCAGGCCGTCTTCTACCCCACCTGCCTCCCTGCCACTCTTTTGCTCTGTTTGTTGCTCTTCCTTCCTACTGCTGTTGTTATTGTTTTGCGCTTTCTTTTTCATCACCATGGTAACCAGTTGTTGTCGCCTTTCTTTGTATTTATTTTCCCCTGGTTTGCTTATACACTTCTCCAACTGCTTCAGTATATATGGAAGTATGTAATTCACGTTTGTATGCAGTCATCCGTGCATTCTTGTATAGTGTGTACACGTCTAGGAGAGAGAGAGAGAGGGAGGCAAACAGACAGACAGAGACGGGAGAAAACAATTTATTGACTCTTTTGTAACGTGTTTGTGTAAATTTAAATTATAAACTAATTATAATGTAATATTGATTACAATTAAAAAAGAAAGCGTCGGATACTGACAAGTATGAATCAACTCTCCTCGTTTTATCGATTTACCCCCTCCTCAACTCTCACCCTCCACCACTGTGTGTAATTTCACTTTACGACAGAATATCTTCGAAGAACCATGATGAAAGGAGAGGAAGTTGAAGAAGAAGAAACACCGTGTTAAAGACCATGGTTAAGACACTTTTCTATTCACATTTCTATTATGTGTAAGAGAGAAGGAGTAGTTTTGAGTTAAGATATTATTATTATTATTATTATTGCCATCATTACAACACTACCTCTGTTTCTGTTTTGTATGTGTCCGTGTCCCCTCCATCTCTTTTGTAGTCCCTCTTGTATTATTTGGTTTAATTTATTTTCGTTTCTTACTCTAACATAGTTGTTAGCAGCTCCTGATAAATAATCCAGGTGTTGAAAGGATCTAGTAGAAGGCAGCTGCTAGGTGGAGGTGACGGTTATAATATTTCAGTGATCACGATGTTTCGGTAGTCAATTGACATTGACACTGATCATGTAAACATACACAAACAAACAGGTTTTGAGAAAAATGTGTACATCTATACATAGGTAGGAGAATATACGTATTGATCTATGTAACCATGCATCAATCACACACACACACACGCATGCACACATACACAGAAACCTTAAAATATTACTGTCCTAACCGGAAACGAGGAGTGCTAGAATTCAGTCGCACTACAAACACACACGCACACCCACACGAACAAACATCAACAGGCACACCACGCATTGGTACTGCACACATAATCACACACAGACTCCCACCCACCCACCCATGCACACAATGTATACAAAGATTAAAAATCCTCTGTACTATTTACACCAGTGCGGATAAAGTGGGAAATTAAGTGTTTTTTGTTTGTTGAAACCCACGACAACAACAACAATAACGGAAGAAAAATATAAATGAATATTTGCTTATCCCAGTGCATTTGTTCTTTTATTATTATTATTACTACTGTTACTATATATTACTATTATTCGCCCTATGTTTCACGTTCTCGTTTTTCTGGTTTTGTTTTGTTTTGTTATTTGAAAACTAGGATCACAACAAAAAATAAATATTGACAAAATTTTTATGTTCTTCATTTACTCCTATGAAACGCTACTGTTACTACTAATATTTAATTGTTATAACAGTAATAATAACAATAATAATAATAATAATAATAATAATTATAATGATAATAATAATTTCTTTTTACTAGTGTTTGGCTCTACATGAACTGATACATGAATTAGAGAAACATCGAAGACCAAGCAGTGTACTGCTGGACGGTAGTCTTTTCTCCTAGTTTTCTGGGCCTCTTCATCAGTACGTACCAATGAAATCACCTGGGTTCGCACGGAGGACTGACTGATTAACTGAGTTTCAACATAAAGTGTAGCGTAGAACTGCAGCAGCATTTTAAGTTGTGCCACATTGCATATAGTACACAAAGGTAGATAAATGAAGACAAGCAGAAATGTGAGGGAGGAAAAGAAAATATTAACAGGGAAAAATAGGAGGGTATAATGAACCTGACAGATCATCATAAGGAGTGAATGCATCTGAGCAATTGATATCTGTCCTTACACTCAACTTAGTCGACCCCAACTCACTGGTTACAAATTCTGACTAGAACTCCAGGCGACTTCATCTTCGAGTCAGTTACTAGTAAGTATTAGATTAGTTTTGAAGTGTTTGGTTTGCATACTTTTTAGATAGTGTTTGGTGGTGGTGTGGTGGGCGGTTAGGGTGGGTAGGATCCGATGGATTTGAAGGTAGGATATTACTGTTAGTCGATATCAACCGGAAGTCAAAGGTAACTTCACTATTGAATTGTTTCTTCTTTGAATCGAAATTGTTTGCACTTTTCAGAATTTCAAGTCGTTGAAATATCTGCTCATTTGTTAATTGGTAATATGAGTTCATACTGTCGTTTTCATAGGAATTCTGGTTTCTATTATTTACGATTCTCATCTATAAAGACATAAGTTTAACAATGGTTGATTAATTTCGGAGTCTCACTATACGATAAACCGTATAGTAGTAAACTCTTGACGAGTGCATAGGAAGTCTGAAATTGTCAAGTGTGTTGAAGAGTGGTCTACCACTCATTCAGAAGATAGACTTATTTGTATTTTCCAAATTCTATCAATTCCCAATGGAATATGATCATAATAAAGAC